CTTTAATATAATAGAAAACCAAGGTGTTAAAGGTCCATCTAATGTGGGTATATATGAATCAAGCTCTTCACGTGGTACAAAACTGTATGCAGAAATTTCATTTGAATTTGGCTTAATTTTAACATTATCTTGAAATATCAGAACGTAATCAATTTCATGTTCTCCCCATTTACCATTACCAGTGTCTTTGTACCAAATTCTTGTAATATAATGCAACTTCTCTAACGGGATCTGTTCTTTAGGAATTCCTAGCTCATAATTCATTCTTCTTTGTGCTGCCCTTTTAATTCCTATAGCATCCTCTTCTTCATCCTCACCTTCATAATTTGCTACAGGATGACTACAGCAACTATTAGTATAACAATCTGGATAAGTTAACTAAAAGTTATATATTATTAAATTTGCAAATAATTTTAAATAAAACAAGTATGCACCTTATGTGATGATCGTTTCTGTAATAGCAAATCTCCTTTCTTGTTAAACAAGAAAACGCTGAATGCTCGATGTAACGGTATATAATCGTTTTCTTGGACCAAATGACATTCCTTTTTTGAAGCTTGACCCACAATTTTATCATGTTCATCAACCAAGAAACATTTTTCCTTCAATGATGCTTCTTGTACAGGATCTTTAACAGCTTCTTTGGTACTAGTAGTAGCAGAACTAAACAGTACCCGGCTTATCGTCCTTTTAACAACATTTCGTACATTCAAAGACAACATATTGGCTGATAATTGCTTGAAATAAAAACTCGACACTCACTTTATTCGTTGTTTAAAGATTTACATAAGAAAACGATTATTTTTAGCAAAATTTAGATATGCAATATGATAAAAACTAAAATTCTATTAAAGTTAACCTTTCTATTTGACGTTCTACTATTTTTATTAATTATTTTATGGTTATCGTGGTTATGATTTTATAAAGCCATAGATATATAAAATTCAGAAAATGTTTACATTACGAGATATGTTTAGCCACGGTTGCAATTAATAAAAAGCGCGCAAAAACAAGTAATGTAAAAACAAAATTAATGTTTTGAATATTGTTGGCAAAAATATTTTGATATTTAATGATTTTCATTCTTTTTTCCAAACAGCAGATCGTAACAAAAGAGATCCAGCGAAGTTACTTAGACATCACTCTATGGAACTTCTTTAATTCATATTAATAATCCTAACCTCATCTATAATCCATAGTACAATATCTGTAATCCTTATCCATAGACAAGTCCCTGTCATAGATCCTTACATAACCTTCAATTATAACGGTCTGAATTGAATAGAAAATCCGTTATTTTTCATTAATAAAAAAACTTAACAAGCATGAGAACCACTCAAACATTATTAAAGCAACATATTGGTTGGTATTTCAAAAAACATTGGAAGATACAAGGAAAAAGAACACCCGTGATTACTAGTGCAGAAAAGATTTTGAAGAACGCAGGCTTCCCTGTTTATAAAGCTGAAGATATTGCTAGCGACAAAAAAATTGAACAGTAATAATTAGAAAGTTAGTATTATCGTTAAATGTAATAATAATTTACATTTGTAGAATTGAAGAAAATGATAATAACAATTTAGGCCTCTTGAATAAGACTCATCCCAATTGGCATGAAAAAATATGTTACACTTATAAAGATGATAATGTACTATTAGAAGGGCTGAACCAGGCTAAAATAATCACCAAAACGGTTGAAATTAAAGAAGGGCTACCAGACAATTTCACACTAAAAAATGCAACAGAAGATGTACATAAAAAAGTGAAGAATATTATATTTAATAGTCATCTTTTTGATGCCGAACAAAAACTGTTACCTAAAATTAAAGATCAAGAAAGACCAGCATGGAACTTTCCTAGAATATATGGAATTACAGAAGAAAGGGCTAAGTATTATTGTTCATAGTTAAATTGAAATAGGTACCATTTTATTTATTATTTTTAGTAAACTGCTAGTTATCAAACTTTTACAGCTTACTGAAATGTTAAGTAATCCTGGCATTGTCAAGCAAAGAAGTATTTTAAATGATCTTCGATTTTCATTTCCATTTGAAAAAGAAAGTGACTTAATACAACTGCAACTGAGAGGAGATACAGTGCTTCTCAGTTCTAAACCACTGTCTCCGCCATCCCAAAAGGCAAAAACAGAGTCATTTGATTTACCTGAAATTTTTCCAATTAAACATACCATAACATTAAATGTTGATAATATTTATGAAATTCAAAATATTTATCGTGAGTAATTGATTTTTTATTATCTTTTGGTAATTTCAATAAACTTTTTTTTATTAGCTGTTAATCTAAGTATACCAAAATCTCATCCACACACAATTTTTGTTCATTACAACAAAACTGAAGTAAAAAACCTATATGAAGAAGAAGTAACTGAATCACAGATCCTTGGACGTTCCCTGATGAAAGCATTTACAGTTGCAGCTTCCTATGCAAAACAGAAATATGGAGTAAGATTGTTCTTAAAAATAGTGAAGATAAGTTTAAGTACATTTCTTATTTTAATAGGAAATTGTAAAAGAATTGCCTTCTCCCGTGACCATACAGTGTGTTCACACTGATGGTAGACTGTTTCACTTTGGAATGCTTCAGTTAAATACCTTAAATTTGGAAGAGGGAGGCATAAAGAATATTTGGTATCAACTGCCTAGAATCCCTCTTTTTTCTTCTTGTATGTATAAAGAAGGGCTGCCTGTTTTAGAAGATTACAATGGTGAAGTAATAAATTATATAACAGCAATGTATAATAATGTGTAATTGAAATAAATAAATAAATATAAAAAGGCTTAAACTACAATTAGTTTTGAATTTATTTCTCTATTTGCAGAAACATTGAAATGATGTCAAAGTCCAATACAATTGTGAAAAACCCTTAATAAATCACGATGACTGTTAGAAAGGAAGAAAAATCCTGTTGATACTCAGTTTGCAATAGTTTAAAAATTACTAAATTTTGAAAAAATGTTTTTTTCTATTTGAATAATACCAAAAAGAAATTGGGATTGCGTTATATAGACACTACATAAGAAGGAGGTTGTTACTCTAGATATAATTTTGAAAGAATAAGAAAAAGATCACAACAATCATTTTCTAACCTTCAGTCACATCAAGTAATGTGTTTTGAATATGAAACATAGGTTAAACCAATTTTAACTGTTTAAAAAAGAAAGTAATGCAAAATATGACTGCTGTAAAAAAAGTTGTACTTGAAAAAGGTAAGACGTTAATTCCTACAATTAAAGTTAATAAAAGACATATATATTCCATATATTTAAAAAAATATTCAGTTTACTGGAAAGCTAGCAGTGAACATAAATATTTTTAAATTATTTTAGACAATTCAAGTGATTTATCTGAAAGTGAAATAGAAAGAAGTAGTGAAAATGAATTTGAGGAAAATGAAGTTAATGATAAAGCTAATGCTGGATGGGCAGATTCAATTTCAAAAATTCTCAAGGCAAATAAACCTAAGGGAAAGAAAACCTTAGTTCTTAGTAAAGCTAAAAAATTAACTGATTTACCTAAGAAACAAGTAAAAGATGTGGGCTTTGAAGTTGAAAAAGATGGACAAATTACGCAAGAAGTTGATAGTGAATGTTCAGATAGTAACACTGTCTCTGATGAAGAAAAATTCCCCTCAAGGAAAAGGGTTTGTAAATTAACTAATTAATACATTTAACATTCATAGTCTAGTGTTTACTATTATTTGTACTGAAACATTTATTGTTCTAGAAAAGAGATATACCAAGTATTAGAGTTAAGCCAAACATATTACAGAAAGATAGGGAACGTAAATTACAGAAAATAGCTACAAAAGGTGTAGTTCAGTTATTTAATGCTGTAAAGTCCCAGCAAAAGGAAATTGATACAAAACTTAAAGAAGCTGGTTCCTTAGAAGTCAAACGTGATAAAGTTCTAAAGAGTATAGATAAGAGGACATTTTTGGATGTTCTTATGGGGAAGAAGTCTGAAAGTGTTGATCAAAATCCAGATACTGATATTAAAAAAGATAGGGTCAAAGAAAACAATACATGGAGTGTTCTTAAGGATGATTTTATGATGGGAGCAAAAATGAAAGATTGGGACAAAGAACAAGAAATGGAACAAGAAAGTGAAAATGAGATGGAATTGGAGTCTGATTAAAAAAGTTCTTAATTAAAATAACCATTTCAAAGCGTAATAAATATATCTGTACATATTTTTGATGCATCATTTTATTTATAGTTTATAAATACATAAAATAATAGTACTTGTATTACATAGTGAAATAAGTACGGCATTCCCTTCCAGATATAAATATAAGCCGAATATTAAATTTTTTACAATTTAAAGAGTTAAAAATAATCTCAGTAT